CATGGTACCCCTAAAAGACTGAATTATATTCACTGATCTATTTTAATACAGCAAACTACAATTTGAGATGAAAACAAACTTAATGCTCAAGGCACTTCTATAGAAGATACAAAATATAAATGTTTAAATTTTTTTTTTTTTTTTTTTTTGAGACAGAGTCTTATCTGTCACCCAGGCTGGAGTACAATGGCGCAATCTCTGCTCACTGCAACCTCTGCCTCCTGGGTTCAAGCGATTCTCCTTCCTCAGCCTCCCAAGTAGCTGGGACTACAGGCACGCACCACCACTCCCAGCTAATTTTTTGTATTTTTAGTAGAAACAGTGTTTCACCATGTTGGCCAGGCTGATCTTGAACTCCTGACCTCATGATTTGCCCGCCTCAGGTCCCAAAGTGCTGGGATTACAGGTGTGAGCCACCACACCCAGCCAAATGTTTGAATCTTAACCAGATCGCTGCAGCAACAACTAAGCATACAAACTACAGACATAAATAATATACAATCCAGGCTGGGCGTGGTGGCTTTGCTGTAATGCCAGCACTCTGGAAGGCCAAGGCAGGCGGATCACCTGAGGTTAGAAGTTTGAGACCAGCCTGACCAACATGGTGAAACCCTGTCTCTACTAAAAAAAATACAAAATTAGCTGGGAGTGGTGGCACATGCCTGTAATCCCAGCTACTTGGGAAGCTGTGGCAGGAGAATCACTTGAATCTGGGAGGCAGAGGTTGCAGTGAGCCAAGATCGCACCACTGCACTCCAGTCTGGGCAACAAGAGCAAAACTCTGCCTCTAATAGTAATAATAATAATAACAATATCATGATCCATTATGAACAAATTCTATCAAGGCTTCATGTGACATTTAATGGCTGAAAACTAAACAGGACTCAGCAAAATCAACTGTATTTAAATAAATGCTTTCTTGTGAATGGAGAAGGCTCATCCAGAAAACCCACAGTGATACTGACTATAGAGACAACCTTATACATTGGTCTCATTTAAGAGCCTTCTGCCTGCCTTGGTTGACTTCAAAGAGCTTACTGTAGGTTGATTATATTTAGACTGCTTCTTAGCAGAAGCAGAGTTTATAGCATTGCAAGTGATGGCATCTTGTTAGGGTATAAGCAGTCTCAAAACATAACTTGCATTTATCACTTCTACTTTTTGTTCATGACAGCATATGAAAGTCTGCCTTCTCAAATGCAGAGATGTGCTCAATATGCACTTTCCATCTATGCTTGCTCTCTATAATGTATATTTAAGAAGAGCTCAGGACTTTTAAAAATAAAATCTACACGGCAATGATATCTTCTAGGTCATGAAAAACTATCTGGAAATTATCAGGCCAGGTGTGGTGGCTCACGCCTATAATCCTGGCACTTGGAGAGGCCCAGGCGGGAGGATCACTTGAGTCTAAAAGTTTGAAATCAGCCTGGCCAACATGACAAGGCTCCTGTCTCTACAAAAATAAAAATACAATTAGCCTGATGTGGTGGTGCACAGCTGTAGTCTCAGCTACTCAGGAGACTAAGGCAGGACGATTGCTTGAACCCAGGAGGTAGAGGCTGCAGTGCATTGTGTTCACGCCACTCCACTCCAGCCTGGGTGACAGAGCAAGACCCTGTCTTGAAAAACAAAACAAAACAAAAAAACTGCCCCAATTAATTTTAAGTACACCTTATTCTGAAGAAAAAATTAAAATCTTTTAACAAATTTATAATGTGCAGAGCTTAGTCTTGCAAATATGGAGACATTAAAGAAAAAAGAACCTATTCAAAGGCCAAAGATAAAACTGTAAATGATTGTAGGTCTCCTAAAAGTATGTAAGCTTCTTACAAAATCATAACTCTTCGCCCTTTAAAAATATGTTCTCCAGGCCAGGCGCGGTGGCTCATGCCTGTAATCCCAGCACTTTGAGAGGCCAAGGCGGGCAGATCACAAGGTCAGGAGTTCAAGACCAGACTGGCCAATGGTGAAACCCCGTCTCTACTAAAAAATTCAAAAATTAGCTGGGCATGGTGGCTCATATCTGTAATCCCAGCTACTTGGGAGGCTGAGGTAGGAGAATTGCTTGAACCTGACCTGGGAGGCGGAGGTTGCAGTGAGCCAAGATCGCACCACTGCACTCCAGCCTGGGCTACAGAGCGAGACTCCATCTTAAAAAAAAAATGTTCCCCAGTAGAATACTGAAGTAGAAAACAGGCCACTGAACAAATCATATATTTAAAATGATCTTGCAGTATCAAACATTTTCTCAAAAAATTGTGACATAGGATCCAAAAACAGAATGCTAGTCACCCAAGATAAAAAGCACAAAATGTAAGAGAATAAATCACCTATTCAAAATACCAAAAGCTCACAATAATGTATGAGAGAACATCTATACATTAAAAAAAAGAAGAAAGAAAGAAACTCAAATAGAATTGAAGAAAAACAAAATGAGGCTGGGCATACTGGCTCACGCCTGTAATCCCAGCACTCAGGGAGGCCAAGGTGGGTGGATTACCTGAAGTCAGGAGTTCGAGACCAAACTGGCTTACATGGTGAAACTCTTGTCTCTACTAAAAATACAAAAATTAGCCAGGCGTGGTGGTGGCCGCCTGTAATTCCAGCTACTTGGGAGGCTGAGGCAGGAGAATTGTTTGAACCCAGGAGGCAGACGTTGCAGTGAGCCAAGATCGTGCCAATTGCACTCCAGCCTGGGTGACAAGAGCCAAACTCTGTCTCAAAAAAAGAAAACAAAATGAAAAGTGTATATTTTTCATAAGAGAACATAAGAATTTTGTGAATACTGTAGCCACTATATACATATTGTATATACCTTCAGATACTCGTTACCTCTTTTGGGATATTTAAGGTATTCAGTTTTAATCTTAAAAAGATTCTTAAAAAAAAACTTACCTCCCTTTGAAATAGTAAGTTAAGTAGCACTTCAAGTTTTTTCCTTAATAAAACCTGTTGCAGAAAAATAGTCTTCATTAACTGATTCTCTCCATGGTCTAAATACATATTTTAAATTTAAACCTTTTTCTTCTACAGAAAGCAATGATTAGGAATACATTGTTATTTTCTCTTAGCAATTTACAAAAACATTTAATCACACATTATAATAACAGAGAAAGTAATGACATTTGAAATTTATTTACACAGTTCAGGACCATCAAATTGACCTCCATTATGCTTTAAAAAGGCAAGAGGGAAAAAAGGAGTTTTGCTAGTCTAATCTCCAAAAAAGGGAAAAGAAGGCTATAGAAGCAAATTCAGAAACTACAGTTGTTCATCGTCTGCTACAATGCAACTCATGAACTGTTCTCCTGTATTCTGTCACACTTATTGCTTTCTTTGCCCTCTTGATATGTACGAAGCTGCTCCATAAAGCCAGAATTTGGACATATAGAAGGTCTTGCATTTTTCACCACAGAAAAAGCACTGGTAAATGAGGTTTGTTCAGAATTCATCAGGAAGCCTATTACAATTGCAGCAGCCCTGGAAACTCCTGCATTACAATGAACAAGAACCACTCCATCCTACAATAAAATCAAACAAAAATCTTCATTATTCATTTGAGAAAGGTTATTAAATCACTTGCACTTTCTTATACTACTTGAAATCATAAAGTAAATATTCAATTTTATCTATTGATTTGATTCAATTTACTTGATGATTGAAATAAAATTCATTACCAGCAATGAATAGAAACTCAATCAATCAACCAACCTATACTTCCCTTACCCATGATTAAAATGCTTTAATGATGTTTGGAATTCTGAAACAGTATCTTGCACTAAACTAAAGTAATCCAGTAAAGAGCACATAAAAACCTAACAACTTAGTGGCCAAATGTATCAGTAAAGCACACATAAAAACCTAACAACTTAGTAGACAAATGTATATAAACAAGAAAAAAACACACAGGGAATATATATGGAAACAGAAAATAAAATCCTAACTATAAACTAAACAGAAAGCTAGAAATGTTCCAAGGTATACATAGTGTTCTCATAAAGAAACTAGTGTCAGTGGCTTGCAACTCTGCTTAAATAATCAGCAAGGAAAACATTTTCTACCCTTGAATATATTTTATGCTGGCAGGAAGTTACTTAAAAATATTTAAACTTATGAGGTAGTAAAATGTGACACAAATAGTTCATAGCAATGTAAAGTGGAAAAAGTAATCAGAAACCAGGATGAGGTCAACAAATGAAAAACGTTTCAGGTAACTTGCAAATGATACTTTCCCACTGAAAAGAGACACAGTGCAAGACCAGTGCTGATGGGGTCAATATTGTATTAATAATGAATGTGATAGATCTGATGGGACAGCATTGATATAGCTTGGCTCATCTAAAGCTTCTAAAAAGTTAATGATCTAAATGAAATGTGGTGAACTGTGAGCACACTCTCCAGAATTACACATTTTCTTCGTTTCCTGATTTTTTATTTGGTACAACACACAAAAAAAGAGGAGGGGCAGCGGGGAACATACTACTAAAGCACATATCAACAATACTATTGTTATGACTGTTTTATTTTACTTTTGCAAGGCAGTTTTCTGATTGTACATCTGTTGCAAAATTCCTTTTCTTGATCTGCTGTAACAAATTTGCAAGTATCTCTTTTCAAGAAAGCCATATGATTAATAACAAAAGTTAGTTAACATTTTGAAAATCCTCATATAAAAAAGGACAATATCAATTGTTTTCTTTTCTTCACATCTTACATTACCATGGGATAAACTGTTTTCTATAGATATTTATGACTCATTTCCAAATGCTAATCGTTTCTATATAAGAAAAGCAAAACAGAAATATTCACTATACACCTTGGGAACTTTTCTCATTGTGTAGTGATCGCCCATTTTTTATAAAACTTAAGATGTTTAAAAATTATACTAAAGTAATTGATGAAAATTATTAATGAATTTCATTTAGCATAAAATTAACTAGATATGCCAAAGAAACTTGCAATCATAAACTTAATAAGCTTCAATGTCACTTTTTTTTCCAGTCATCCTTTATTTGGAGGTTAATTCCCATTAGGATAGGAAAGGATTCAACAACGATCGAGACTGTGTTCCTTATGGATGGGCTTGGGCAAGAAGGTCATGGCGGGGAGTGCAGAGCGTGTCCTCTTCTTCAGTGGTACTTGTGTAACCACTCATGCTTGATTTCCTTGTAGGAAAGGCAGTAGCTGAAGAGCATGTAGCATCCCAGCACCATGGTAATACTCGAGATGCTCCCCTTCTTCATGTTGATGTACTTGTTATAGTACCAGTAGTAACCTCTTTGAAATGTTCTGGCAATGCCACTAGGGCTGAAGTCCCACATCAAGATCCAGCTTGGCAGCTCCCCTAGTTTGACCTCCAGAAGTTTCTTGTCCTTCACTGGGACGACTGACACCATCTTGGAGTCCTGCTGTCCACTCCAATGTCACTTTTAATATTTCCTGCTTACATTTCCTGCTACTAGTTGGCTCTACTTTATGATCCATACATAGGCTTTTGAACATGAAACTAGCTTTATTTTCAGTCTTACTGAAATGTTAGCTAATGTTTCAAAATGGTAATATTATTTTCTTCTTTCTTTCTGCTTTATATAATAGTTGTTTTTCTACAGCTTTTGAATTTACCTACTTTCTAACTTTTGATTATTCCTTTAGAATCATATTGTCCTTAAAAGTATTTCCAGAGAAATTATTAGCTTTATATCCCTTTTCCAGAGCTCAAAACAGTAACAAACAGTTTACAAAGCATTTTTTTACTCTTTGTACTTGCTGCTGTCCTATGTCTAGAAGACCTTTGCTCTTCTTGGTACAGCTAATTCTGACTTCTGTTCTAAGACTCCCTCTTTCCAAGTAAAATAAAGGCAGGAGGAATGTCTTGGCCATCTTTGTATGCCTAGTATTTAGTGCAATTCTTGGCATATATTAGGTATTCCATAACAGTTTGCTAAGTCAATAAATTTGTTCTGCATTTCTGAGAAGAAAGTGTTCTTTCAAAAATTCAAATCACCATTTTGCTATGGGCTAGTAGTAGTTATGCTATAGGCAGATAGTAATTATGCTATGATATTTCCATTTCATAGAGTTCTCTTTGTTCTCGTGTTGTTATGTATAGTTTACAACTAGACTGCAAGCTCCTTGAGGACAGCAATGTGTATCCCTCACATATTCTCAAAGTAAGTAATTAATATTTGTGAATAGTAACTAAGCCAAGCCCAGGTGTTTTCCCTTATATTAGACTTCCATTAAAACTTTGGCATGGCTAGGTGTGATGGCTCACACCTATAATCCCAGCACTTTGGGAGGCTGAAGTAGGCAGATAGCAACGTCAGGAGTTCAAGACCAGCCTGGCCAACATGGTGAAATCCCGTCTCTACTAAAAATACAAAAATTAGCCAGGCGTGATGGTAGGTCCCCGTAATCTCAGCTACTTGGGAAGTTGAGGCAGGAGAATCACTTGAACTCAGGAGGCAGAGGTTG